CTCATTTCTAAAATTTAGTCTCGTAGACAGAATAAAAGTTAAAAAGAAATGGCCTTAGGATAGAAAATCATAATAAACCTTTAACCAAATGAAATGATTCATCATAACAAATGTGAGAATACAATTTCACAAGCGAGCTGGTTTGTATAAAACTACTATTGATTTCCATAAAGGTACAAAGGTGATGAGAATCATTTGCTAATAAAACAAAATTAATTCTTGTTCCAAGTTGCTGTTTTATATCAATGCAATAAATTCAAGCTAATCGTTTACCATAAAAGTCAGATATTTATAAAGCTTAGTCTGGTATTTTGTTTTCCTAGTAGTCCAATGACAAAAGTTTAATATAGCCTGTTTGTCAAATCATCAATCCTAACTCATCCCCTTTTGGCTTTTCTTTCCCGAATCATTATGATAAACCATGACATCTCGTTTCTTCTCAGCCATGTTCTGGTACAGAAAGATGTGATGAGTATCAGAATGTTTCCAAGTAGTTTATATGTAGAATAGTGGGGGAGGAGATGCGGGAGGGGGTAACACAAAGGTTTTCAGCAAGGTAGTCTTAATTTAACAGTTTCAAATTGTATTCATAATTAATAGTCTGCCAGTCTGTTATTGTCATCAAAGGTAATTCTGTAATTCAATTAAAATGTGGAACATAATAAGACTAATTTCTCTGTCTGCAATTATCATGCCAATGCAGAACATACGGATGAAGAGTTGTCAAATTCAATCACTCTATCACATCTGCCATATTGAAGTTCAAAAAATGTGATGAATTTGAAAAGTGAACATTTACAAAGATGTATACATTGCAAACAAAATAAATTGTTAAAGATTACTTTAGGTATACTACCAAAAATACATACATGCATTTAGTCTGATCATATGGAAGTTAATATAGAAAATATGTCTTGTCTGATTTTTCCACGAGACAAAACCACATATATGTGGCAGCTAGTATTCTAACAAAAGGAAACCTATTGTTCAGTCACCTTAGCTCATAGTTTGTAGAAACCTCAGGAATTTTTCTGATTTATGACAGAATTGAATGTCTGACAGTCCGGGTATCTAGCTCATCCTTCTAGTCTTTAACAGGGTTATCAAAAATGATGGTACCATGAATAAAAATAAATAAATTACCATATTGATACACGTCACATATTTCTGTCTGTTATTTCTGTTTCTATAGAAGAACTGATTAAAGGATGGGATCTCTCAATAATATCTTAGTCTAAAACATGAGGTGTTTTTTTAATCTCCTTAGTTTTCTGGCTTTGTTACCCTTCCTTTATGAGAAAGCAAACAAGAAGGATAAATTTAGGGTATGAATGAAAGTGTTGATGATTTGAAGATTTATAATATGCTGTATTATATCAGTATCTAGCATACTACACAGAGGCAATATATTATATAAACATTAAATAGTTTGATTAGTAGTTAAGTTATACAGCAATTTTCCAGAGATAAGTACGTAAACGAATGCTCTGTAGACGTACACTAATTAACCATATATAGATAATAACAACACAATAGTAGAGCCTGTGACTTAAACAATGACTCCAGACTTGAAGTATGGTACTTTTTTAATCTCTAAAGATGCCCGATTATTTTTAACATTCCTATTATATATATTAAAAGTGTTTCTTTATTGTATTCATAATGTACTTTCACAAGTATTGAAAGCAATTCAAAAAGAAATATGTTGTATTTTATGAATGGGGCACTAACATGAATAAGTAAGGTAGGTTGACCTGACATTATAAATGTATGTATATTTTCAGACAAATATCTCGAGTTAACTATTGTCTTTTAAAACATGGCTGTAAATTATGTTAAAAACAAATCGAGTTCATTTCACTGTATTTATTTGTATTCAAAACTGGAAATGGCTCTATGATAACAAATTGTGACCTTTGGTTAAACCTTGAAGGGTCAAATAACATCTTTAATCAATTTAACAGGATTTTATCGATAACAAACGAAAAGCAACAGATTAAAAACACTTGGTTTTAATGTTAATAGAAGCATGAATTTATGTATTAGATGCATTGTTATATGGAGTCTTTTAAGGTCATTTTAGATACATTTTCAGGTCAATTAAGACGCCTATATGCAAGGATATCATTTCACTCCCTATGGTTTACATTTAAATAAAGCTGAATTGTAACACTCAGAAATGTCAGAAATTGTTATTTTGGATATTTAGAAATGTGGTAGTAATCAGTTTAGTTAATACAAAATGTAAACCAAGACGAAAACTTACATTAGTTTTAAGATGTTATAAGTATTAATAGGGTCTTTATACACAAACATTAATATGCATGTCAAAGACTTGTAGAAGTTAGTTTACATAGCAAGCTACTGTGGTTAGACAAAATTGCCACAAAATAGTCACACCATCCATACAGAACAATACAGTGCCAATCTACCTCAATTATTTGTATAAAGATTCAGGAAATGGGCAAATATACAATCGTAGTATTTTTCTATGTAAATTCCTGTGGATTAGGCAGACTGTAGCCTATTGAGTAGAAATCTACAAGAATTTCATATATTCACTTCACTTGGGTAAAACTTGACCTGGCAAAGGACTTGATATATGATATGGAAAATGATAATGTCTTGATTCACAGGGCCAGATAGTATAACCTATTTTCTTAATCTACCCCTTTAAAGTTCAATTTTGCATCTGTATAACTAAACATATACTAAATCTCACACAGTTCTCTCAACCTTAAGATATTTTGTAATCAGTGGTACTTATTTTAAAATCAATTTCAAGCTTGGCAACTCTTAAAGATGTTTCCGTATTGACTTAAATGTAACCTATCATGAGAAATCATTGCCTTCTATTAGTTCCTTTCTCGTTGAAAAACAGAAAATTTAGATGAGTATCAGAATGAGTATATTCAATACCCTAAAACCAGTAATAAAAACATGGAATTGGGCCATATGAACTCAATATGGTCTTGTATCAGCCATTTATTTTACCAACAAGATAGAGCCTATTTTATGCATTACCCTACCTCTGGAAACAATTTTTTAAGAAGTAAGGATACGGGATGGAGGAATGGAAGGAATTAATGTAACTAAGAGATCTTATCTCTATCTGCCTTGATTCAGTTTTCAAAACAAGAAACCTGGAAACTTAAACATGCAGAGATCCTATACTATTTATGTATTATTTTGAAGAAATACAAAGATCAAAGTCTAACCTAGTTTTGCCAGTCTTATCTTCCCTTCTCTTGCCCCCTGGAATTATTTGAGCAAAGAAGAGATAAAGTTGTTCTTCTATAAATATCCCGACCTTATTATACTTATCTTAATAACTTATTAACGGGGTATACAAGCTTAACAGCTATTTAGATGATTCATAGGAATTGGTGATAAAATTATGATTCATATATGACAGTTCAAATATGTTTTCAAACAATAGATGTTTTCAATGACCTGATAAATAGTTATTCTTAGTTGATTTTCACCCCATAGAGGAAGGATATTACATATGAGTTGTACATACGTCAAAGTTAAGCTCCACTCAATAGGCAAACAATATGTTATGATAATATGTAAATAAAATAAAACAATATGCGTGGTATGGGAAATAAAATGCACGAAATAGGAAACAATTGATTGTTTTGATCGAATGTTCATTGTTGTTTTAGGTTTTTGTGAAATAATACAGGAAACTGTACATAATAATATAAGAAGGAAGTCGTATATGTATATACGCCAAGAAGTCATGAGGTCATCAGACATTGTGATGTAACTCATAATAGAGGTACATGTCAGTATATGTATACAACTTATATGTACTGTATATAATGTACTTGTCTATAGCTTTAAACATATTTGAAAACAATACTGACCATTGACCAAAAATCAAAAAGCTACCAATTTGAAAACAGTAGATCTCCCTTTGTATTTCATGTTCAGATAGCACATCAAGAAAATTTCTTCTGGAGTATATTGACCTAGGTCACATCTATAGTGTTACAATGTAACTTGATAAGAAGTTGAGTACAAATATGCAACAATCTTCTCATTCAAACCCATCGATTAATCTAGATATAGATAGAGAGGATATACAGAACATGGTATACATATCAATGCAGACACTTGGTATGTAATATGCAAACCATAACATAAGATTAGTGTCAACCGCTAGCCTATAGCACACTAATCCTTAACCAATGTGGATGATATTCCCAGTAAACTACATGGTTGGTATATACTCAGAAATCAGAGCTGTGTACGTTAACTAGAACTGAACACCACAAAATAATCACTTTTATCAACGTTCTAATTAGCAGTATAGCTGGTCTATAGACAAAGTGTGAAAACTTTACCAGGGAAAAGAGCTGCTGAAATCCAGTCTCATACAGGATCAGTAATGCATGCTTATACTTTGTATGTACAACTCTCCCCCCCCCCCTTCCCATAGTCCCTAATACCCTTCAAGGCAGTAAAGTACATTGACTAAGCCATGAACAGAGAAAAAAATTGGGGGAGATGGTCAAAGTCTGAGGATATTGATGCACAATAACATGTTTCAAATCTAGTCTCATGAAACATGTAATATTTGTAAAAAGCTCATTTCATCGTTATTTTAACCAATTTAATCAATGGGGGGGTCTCAACTCTCAACAGTTAACAAGATTCCCATGGAGTCACAGACCAGGATGACTTGGGCCAAGTGACCCAATTTGATTGTTTAGTGTCTTTAGTATAACCTACTAGACAGCAAAAATAAAAACCTTACATTACAAATTTGACGGCTTTTTATTTTTCAGGTATTCAGTTTTAAGACTGATGTTATTTGAGTTTTTCTGCTGATAGGTAAAAAGTTGTACACCTGAAAAAGTTTCAATGTCAGAGGTCAACTTTTGAACTAAATTGAGCAGCCATTTTTTGGTTGTTTTTGAACTTTCTAACGTTCAAAGCATCGGTGCATTAGGGGTCAAAAATTTAAGGTATTTGAAATAATGAATACTTACTGATACATCAAGAGTTAGATCTGTACCGTCAAGCAGGACAACCTTGCAGTTTAAAACATTCTTGGGTTTGGAATCTTTGGGATCTTTTTTCAAACCCCTGCCAGTTCTTCTCCGACTTAAAAACCTGATCAATCTTGACATTCTGGTTGATAACGCTGTAGTATTCCTAAGTGTGTGTATTCCTTATATATTCATGTACTATTAGATGATTAAAAACAGGCGATCTAGTGCATATTAGGCTCATAATTGAACGAAATCTAAACCAACTTTTCGCCTTCGCATTTTACTCGGAGCACCTGCATGACGTCATTCTGAGCCTCGTTTTAAATCCAATATGGCAGCGCCCATGAAATGAGGAAAAGTTATAAAAGTTTTCACTTTCAGTTGAATAACCCTATTCCTGAAGAGAGAATTAGTAATTTTTCAAGCCTTGAAAATAGTGTGAAATATAACGCATATTACATCCACTGATTTTCGCTGAAAGGTCATCCAGGTATTCAATAAAACCTACTTTGGCAATTTCACAGTTTGAAGTTTCACCTTTCACTCAAATTTTCAACTGCTGCTGGTGGAACCACAGACAACTATCAAGTAAGTAACGCAGAACGTTGCCTGTGAGCTAATCTGGCAGCTTGTTAGATAATTTGTCTTGAAGGAATTTAGAAATGATGATACTTGTCAAGTTCTCTAATTTGCCATTTTTAGTCTACAGTGGGGATCATAAAGAATTGCAAAAGCTATGAAAATTACATGCTGTCGCACATGTAATAAATTCTTACCTCAGTGTATTCAGTGCTCTATTTTCTCCGTCTTAGTAAGTCCAAATATAGTGGAATTTGTGTCACTAATGACAAATAAGAACTTCAAAAGTTGAATTGGATATTCACATGTTATGCCGACTCTTCAAATGTTGAGGTGATTTTGTCGCCCGATTGCGCCGGAACGGAGGATTGGCTCCCAGAATACAACATGACACGTGCCAGCTTTCAAAATGCTGTTCCGCCATTTTGAAACCTGTCATGAGTAAATATGGTTAACTGATGTTGCATTCTGGGAGTCAACCGTCCTTGGATAACAAACATGGGGATTCATGAAAACATTCATTCGATTTGGTAGGGATTTATCCATTATTTGCAGGTATGAAGCTTTGGATTCATTTATTGTGCTACTTTAGTGAACTGGAATTATTTTTCTACCGCTTGGGAGAGTTTGAGACACGAAACTTGGAAATAAGCTCATTGTGACAACTTGTGAACGTTGAGTTTTATTTTTGTCCCCCACTGTACGTATTGTATATTTAGACATTGTAGATCTAGCTAAAATGAGACTGTCTCTAAAATAATGTGTAAATAAGATCTGGCCCAAGGTACAAGGGGAGCCAAAAAAGGTAACCCAAACAAATGTTAGGAAATGACAAAAGAGGAATGATGGATTTTGAATATTTTTTTACCAAGATAACAGAGTTTTTGACCTCCAGTCAGTTTACGTCTCGGGGTAGTCTCGGGTAGAAATTTACACAAAACAGGAAATGAAAAAACCATGTGGATTTTAGAATTTTTTGAAGTAAGATAACAGTGTTTTGCTTTGATCTTCAGTCAGTTGTACTACTCCCATATATCATTTACATGGTCAGGATGCTGAAATAGCTTTTTCAGCAATCTGAAAATGTGACTGAAAAAAGTTAAAAGTTAGCGTTTCGGAAAGGTCACTGAACAGAATATTTTAGAAGCTTTGAAAATTTGAATTCATTTCTAGAAATAAAGAAAAAGTGAAAAAACTGATTTGAAAAGCTATCTTTTTCCTTTTAATGACTACAATGTTTGTTTAAGACAATTTTTCAAATTTTTAAAGCCCCTATCATTTAAAGCAATATATTGGGCACATTTTCTGAAAAATTCGATCTGACCCACTGTGTTACCATGCCCATTTAGATCTTGGTCCTGTGAAAGATATGTTGAATGAGTAAAATTGACTGAAGGTAAACTCAGTTATCTTAGTTCAAAAAATTTCAAAAATTCAGCATGTTTTTTTATTTCCCATTTTGTTACTTCTTGTTAGTACCTTGAGACCTCAAATGATCCATAAGACATACTCAACAGTTGGTTATATAAGTTTGCTTAGATAATTGCCAATAGAATCATTATACAGGGTGTTCCATATGTTTCAGGAATGATGCTGTATTTTTGGTGTACTCTTTAATCAAACTGAACTTTTGACAAAATGTGTCCAAATACATCTATGTTGTGAATAAGTTGAGAAAGTTTTGTATCTTAAAGCTCAGTTGACTCAATATTATGGTTGCTATAGTAACCCAGGATAGGGTAGGTGGAGCAGGTGCGCAAACCATGAAATATTTGTAGAAATAGTCATTTTTTGTATGAAGTGTGAGTAAGTATTAAGTTATCATAGTTGCATTATTTTTGTCAGAAATTAGGCAAAAATGAAGGTGGATTCCTGGAAATTAAAAGTGTCATCATCGAGGACTTAAAAATTGAAACACCTGTCATGTCATGAGTCACAAAGGAGAATGATCACAGGTCATTTTGGCTGAACGGCCATCTTGAAAAATGAAAATGTCATCAGCAAATGAAAAACTTACTTCCACTTAGGCAACGCACAATGATCATAAAATGTGCGAAAAATGGGTTTTCTGCAGCAGACACAATTAAATTCCTAAGGAGTGCATATTGGGACTCAATGATGGCAATCTCTAGAGTGTATGAGTGATACAAGCGGTTCAATCCTGGAAGGGAAACTGAGACCGATAATTCAAAATGTGGATGTCTGAGAACATTTCTGCAGACCCCGAGTATGCCAAACCTACAGGACGACTTTTCAATGGATGTCATCAATGATGAAATTTTTTTAAATTTCCAGGAATCCACATTCATTTTTGATTAATGTCTGACAAATTTTATGCAACTATGACAATCTAATACTTACCCACACATCATCACACCTGCTCCACCTACCCTACCCCTGGGTTACTATAGCAACCATATCATTAAATCTACAAAGCTTTATGATATGAAATTCTCACAACTTATTCACAACATATTCAGATACATTTTGATAAAAATTCAGCTCGATTGAAAAGAAAACCAATAAAATACAGCATCATTCCTCCTGGAACATATGGAACATCCTGTACTTTGAATATTAAATCAGATATATCCATGTACAATAATTTGTACATGTGCTTACATTTTCAGAATGAGTCTCAGTTTGCTGATACAGAGGAATCTGCAATGGCCATATATTGCTGCTTTGTCAGGGGGTGTAGTTATGTCAATTTTGCCCCACACAATGATGATGGATCGATACAGAGAATTCTATCAGCTGTATATAGGGGGCGCTGAAACTCCACTTGATGCAGACACTAAAAAGCTTACAAAACAGGTTCGTTGTCAGGCCCGTAGCCAGGGGGGCTCGTAGGGTTCGGGTTCGGGTTCAGAAAATTTTCAGAAATTTTTTTCACTGAATTATCTCATTTTTTATACATTTTACAAAACAAATCTTCCCACAAGTCTTCTCTAGGCTTATAAGTGCACTCTTTGTGCAAACCTGGAAGATGTAGACAATGTGGGGAAGGAGTAATTCTTGTTTGAAAAATAACATGTGATTCAATTGAGGAATGCAGAAAATTTCCCAACATGCACCCTGGCCTTAAAAGGGCTAGAAGGGATTGGGATGGGTGTTGAGTAAATTGCAGATGATATCTTAAAAAATTAAAGATTGAAATTGAAACATTGAAGAGAATGCATTCAATATTTTAAGCCCCCATCCTTCCTAATTCCCTTTTATTTTTCCAGGTTTGTAAAGATATATTGGTACCTGAGCCAGGTTGTGAGTTCTTTGCCTGCTACGGCTTTGAACCTGTTCACATGGGATCATTCAAACTCATTAAAGGATGCATTGTTGGCCTACCATTGAACTTCAAATATAAAACAATGGATGACATTGACAGAGACAAGATATTTGTGATGCAGAAAGATATGGATCATGACAAACCGCAGCCTCCTAAATGGAACTCTGACGCAGGTGTTGCGCTGTTGGATTCACTCGTTTTGAGCGAGAATGCCAAGAAGTTTGCTATTGCTCGAGAGTTGGAGTACTGTAATTCACACTATGTATGGGTGAATTCTGGACTTATATCCGCCTATGGGTTCATGGCGTACTGGATGGGTTTTGCTACAAATGTAATGTTGAATTTAAAAACCAGGCTCAAACCATGGGCGAGAGGTGGACTCTATTTAGCATTTGGAGCATCGGCGTACAGTCTATATCTAGTCTCCCATGATGCATATTCATTTAGACAAGATAAAAAAGTTGATCGTAAAATGGGCGATGTAAGCTTACAATATGCTGTAGGGGGGCTAGAGTTCTACACAAAGGCCCTTCAACGAAATCAAGCTATAAGAACAATGATGGGAGAAGAAGGAGCAAAGATTTTCAGAAAAAGTGGAAACAGAAACTTATTCATTAGAGCTCCAAATGTACCTTTAACCAAGAGAAGGGACTTAATGATGGAGATCTGTATGGAAAAAAGTGCACCTTTGCCTGGCACTGGCACACCCAAGCCTGTTGAAGTGTAGTCAATTAATCCCTATAATGGGCAGATATGAACAGAATGTCATCCTTACCTTGAATAGAATATAATTCTCAGTTGTCAAATACTGTATGAGCTCTTCAATTTTGTGTTTTATACAGGGTGTGCCAAAATATTTTGCAACTTTTTTAAAAGGCTAGAAAAGTATCATAACATTAAGGTATTGGCATACAAAATCATTTATTAATGATAGGCATATTTTACCAATCAAATACTAAAGCTAAAACGGACTTCAAATTTTAAGCGTGAATGTATTTATAGGTGAGGCCAAAAAGAAGAACCATTTTGTATTTAGGCTTTCTCACTGAACGTGTCATGCCACCAGTGTTATTCATGGGTGTGGCCCTTCCTTTAAAGACTTTATATGCTTATTTTGGATCAGATTTAAAATATATTATATCTAAAAAAGTATTATTCACAGAAATTAAACTTATTGGGTTTAAAAAAATACTAGTAACCATCTTTCTTGAATCTTCACTTCTGTTCATTGAATTTTGTAGTGATCAAATTGAAGTACTGTTTATTGGAAAATCCAAAATTCTCAGAATGGAAATTTTTGCTCTCAGAAACCAACTTAATAAACAATATCACACTCTTGAGTATTGGAACCTATATAGTTAATGCCTATGTTTGCCAATGGACAAGAAAAGATATCAAGACAGAAAATCAAATATGGCCACCTCAAAATTTACCCTGAAAACTCCAAATCCAGTCAGCTCTAAATTTTGATATCAAGAAGCATCCTTGAAAATATTAAATCTATTCATCAAACAGTTTGCTTAGAAACAAGACCTTACACTTCAAAGTTTACCCTGAATGACCTTAAACCAATCAGATATATCTTTGTAAAAGAAGCAATTGATGGTGGATTTTACAACAATTCTTCAACAATTCTTTCTGCTTAGAAAGGCATGAACAAGAAGTCCAATTTCTCAAATATGGTCAGCCGTGTAATGTGTCATTGCCATAGAATGTTTGAGCTTTGGATTTGACAGATTTTTTCTTTCATCTGAAACTTTCTGTGATCCTTGGCTCATCATACACTGTACCTTCATTAAGATGGCAGCACCTTACTATACATTTTATGACTGTTAATTTGAATCTGATGGGCATTCATAAAAATTGAGAAAAAATGTTTTGTCTCGTATTCAATATGAACACCGAAAAAGTATTTGTGAATAACGCCAGCATGGGCGTATCGCCTATTACGCAAAATACGCACAGGCTTACCAAATGAATTTGAAAAAAATAAAAAATGTGTTAAAATGCATTAATTTATTTGCGAATTTATTGATGCTTCCTACCGTATCTGTATGTCAACATTTAAAGTTGATAAAAACGCTTAGATTCAATCAAAAAACATCCTTGAAAAAAATTTCGCATACCCCCAGACCCCCCACGATGCGCAGCCTTCCCTCTTAAAAAATTGAATTCACCTAGTTGTCCCCATATACTATACTTCTAGTATCGGAAATCATAGTTTCATGGTTTAAAATGCTTTTTCCCTGGTCGGGAATTGAATATTGGTTTTATACCTTGGTCAATATGATATTTCCTTTACTTCTATACTTTGCGTTTCTCATTCGTCATATCATATACCTCATCAAGAAATATTCACTCTTCAGAACAGGACTTTGGTCTTTTGTTACAGATGCCAACCACCGATCGTCAACCGCTATCACCTAACACCTTTTGGTGGAGACATAAAAATGGCACGTGTACAAAATACATACGGAGAAATATGAGATAGTAAATACATACTGAAGTTCCTCGATATACTGTACACATATTACTTTGATATCTAGCATTCTTGTGAGGACCTTAATTAATCCACAAAGTGTTGGTTACTAATGGAATTTTTATCACACTACAGTGCTATATCGTTGTAAGTGGGCAGCAAGTGGGTAGACGTCTGAAAAGGTGGGTAGATATATAAAAATCTTGTAAGCTATTTCCAAGCAATCTGTTTCAAGGATTGATTTTGAGTTTCCAGGGATCTTTTTTACAATAATGTGTATATGGGCAAGCTATTTGGACTTTGTATCCCAAGATCTTGTTATAGATTTGAAGGGCTCGATTAACAATGGTACAAAACAATTTAGAGAAACCATCAATGAAGAAATTCTAACATGGGATCTTGGAGTGAATAATACTAAACAAGATATAGAATTTGAAAAAGATACATAAAGTCATTTATTATATTACAACTTATATGCACATAATATTACTTTACAAGCTCATAGTAAAATATACATGGCATTATACATATACATGTACACAGTCGCAAGGATGTGCTCTCATACATTTCTACATCAGTATTTTGGTGACTGGATGGTGATTTTTCAATCAAACATTATTAAGGTGGTCTGCATATTTAACTTTTACATACCATAGTTACTTTACTTTTTTCCCAGTGAACTTCAGACTGAATTTCATTTACACAAAAAGGAGTATGCTAAGTTCCATTATAAATGGAATATGTAAGCTAAAATCAACAGACCGATGATTCCACATAATTTAAATATAAATACAGATTCATAATTTTATCTAGAATTTACAGTTTTTCTAGTTTAGCACTAGATTGCAGTACAATTGAACAGTCCATTCTGCTTATTATAGACATGTCTAGAGATGCACTGTTACTGTACTGAAATATACAGGCATTTATATACACAAATAAAACTTCAGAGGAACCCTAAACAAAATGTCACACTGATAATAAGTTGGTAATAAAACCTCTTTTTTGTTTGCACAAACAGTTAAATAATTTAATCAATCAATGTAGCTTAAACTGATAAAGAAGGGAAATTCTGTTTGAATCTTGAATCTGAAGACCATTTTACGAAAATATCATGTCATCCTAAGTCCAATGGTAGTTCCTTGTTTTCTAAGCTTTACAGAGCCCGATTTTGAAGGATGATATTTGTCTCAATTCCTGATTTCAAATTGCCTCGCACTATGAAGCAACAAGGTAACTATGGCAATATGATAATTGTAACTATGGCAATAAGGAAATGTTCACAACATTAATCGAATTTCTGGAAACAAAATTCAAAATATTTTCATGAAACAGTCCCCTGGGTCGTCCAAAGAATAAAATGTCTGAGATGTTGTAGTATGGAATAACAAACATATCATCAGTGGAACATTTAATGTTAGTTCAACAAACAGTTCTTTGTATGATACAATACAACAATATACTGTACCACTGTAAAGTAAAATGATATAATTCCTTAACTGTACTAAAATGATTAAATTCTAATTCATTGGCTTGAAGATTAACCTTTCGTCAGTCCGAAAATGCCTAATTTATAGCAAAACAGAAGAATCTTCTTAAATATTGAAAAATAATTTCAACATCTTAAGGGTTATTAAATCTGAACACATTAGGTATACAGACTACTGCTTTAAAATCTTAAGTAGGGAGTTAAGCATGTGCACTGTATTCACAAATAATAACAAGATTTCATTAGTGACAATTTTAGCACTAATTTACACAGAACCTCAGAACCGAACAGGTTTCAAATTAAAATGTCTACAAGTACAATAAATTAAGATTGCTTTCAATCAGAGCATGCTTTACAAGGGCATTCAACTTAAAAATGAAAGCCCTGGTGAAGGATGTTTAAAATTACAGATCAGCGCCACCTTTAACAGAAAGGCATAGATAAAGCACCACATTTGCAACAATTACAATCACATTCAATCAATAATCATTAAATAATGAGTCAATGTAAATGTACATATAATGATAGCTGGGTGGACAGATGCTGCCATCTTTAAATAGTTCTGTGTAGGGGTATATATCAACTGACTTGAAATCAAATCATTTCACATATTTACTAGCCAACAATGATAATATGAAGCTCGAAGGGCATTGAACACTTTAGTATGTATACGGAATTGTGATACATTATATACACCTGGTATAGGCAGGCAAGTCTCCTTCAAAATATTATACAGAAAAATTAGTTTTCAGAATTTTTTAGGCTGAAATTAGGTGCCGCTGTCATAAATAATAATAATGAGCCAAAAATCATCCTATCTGGCTTTTATTTTGCCTCGCCTATTTAAACTTGCCTCACATTTTTTTCATACTAGCTACGCCCATGCAAGGTATGGTAATAATTTGACATTGACTTAAGTGTGTTTGCACCAAACCTGTGCCGAGAAGATTCACCTGTGATTTGCAATATATAAATACTGTACATGTAATAAAATTTCATTAAATTAAAGTGGACGCTCGATACAAAACTTTCATTTAGGGTTATTAAAGTGTGATGTTGACAAAATTGTAAATTCTATCAAAACTACAATATTGATGTAATACATTTTTACATATGTAGTACAATAAGAAGAAAAACTTCTGTGTTCTACAATAATTCTAAGGCAGATTTGAGATGTGTATTTTACAATTTCTATCATTTCTTGAAATCTAGAAATCTACATTGTAATTCATTATATCATTATATAATAATCATTAAAATTGATGGAAGTGATTCAATCCCAAGAGTCTCTCCTTTAAACAGGAGAAATTTCTCATGGGATTAGACAACACCCTCTTTTTCTTAGAAAAAACGACCAGGTTTTAAACTGCACTGAAACCAGTTTGACATTTACATACAACCCAGTAGACATTTTCTCAAATGCATGAATCATAGATAAAGCAGTATTTTTTAGAAACTGTCTAGGGCTAATCTGGGTTAAATGCCATACTGTCCCGTAACAATCAGCTGATCCTAATGCTGCCTTATTAAAGTGGGGCGTCAATTATTTACACATTAAATGTACGACTGCCCAAATTCTATGGCAATTCTATGTGCTCTCTCCAGTGTAGGTATAAGTAGTTTTAAGTCCAGCCTACAACCTCCCTACTGTATATAAACGACTGTACAATCTATATTTACGATTGTTCAACCTATAACAATGACTGCACAACCTTAATTGAGGATACTAAGCTGACACTTTGTACGCCAGTTTTCTGCTCAGTGCAAATGTCAATTTCAATGTGACCATATAAGGCAAAATAAATGCCAATGTGACCATAATGGAAGAATTGATGTCAATGGTGGACCACCCTGGTATTCATATGGCAAGGTGGCTAGCTAAATAAGGCATTTGATAAGGAACCATTCTTGCAACATTGTTGAACTTCACCCAGTATAAATGGTGGTAAGCATCTATTATCTATAGGCGTTTCACCTTTCTTTCCTCATGTTTGTCATTATTCCAGGTCACCATTCTGATCACAACTCCTGGCATCACATTTTCTTTTCCACTTCTGATGTTATTTTTCCGTCACAATTTCCAGTGCATCAATTCTCAGTGTCACAATTCCAGATTTAAATTTTGTTTCACCTGTTTTATGTGATTTCACCATTCTTCAGCGTTGGTCTCATAAAGCTAAATGATAGTATCACCAAATGGTAGCACTTCAGTGATCACACATGCCTACAAGGATTGCAACATTTTGGCATTCATCTATTTTGGTTTGACATTGCAGTGTCACTGGTGACATGACTGCGTCACATGTGGGATTTGCCCTATGTCACTGTTGACTTCAGTATGTCACTTCTGGTATCACTTTATAAAAGTTGACACCACTGTGTCACTTTTGACATCACTGTTTCAAAGTTGACATCAATGTGTCACAACTGGCATTTCTGTCACATCTGACATAAGTGTGTGTGTCACATCTAACACTATGTCACATCTGACATCACTGTGTCACCTCTGGTAATCCTCTAATGGTTGAACTAGTCCTTCGTGATACACTCTCAGTATGGCTTCACATACAAACTTGTATTGGCTCTGAAAGAGGAAGAGAATAAGTGATAACCATGCATGTGATAGACAAATATGTGATAACATGTAGGTGATAATTACAAAGCAGATGGTCAGTATACAGAGTGAGCCAGAAGTAACGTCAAAGATGTTGCCATTTCAATACAGACAGACAAGAAAACCCATTGATACGAGACTGGAAATTTTGCATGGTATTACGATATACCAGACATAATGAATTCAGAGAGTACATAGCATTTTTTACCAGATATAGTATTTATTGTTTTCTTCACACATTTTCAACATATCAATCTCTTATTAGGATAACAATATCAATACAAAATATCCATTAATGAATTGCCATCTATCTTTCATAATATGTAATTAGCACATTTCAATATAAAATATTTTGTGAACTTACAGAAGTTTGTATAAGCATGGCTCGTTGATCTCTCATTTGTCTAACAATATCCAGTGGATACACTGATTGGTTGGCCTCTATTAGACACATGGCTGTCTCCATGGTGATCAACACACCTGTTCTACCAATACCAGCACTGAAGAGCAAGAAATCACAAAAATTATTTTCAAAGTAATCAATTTTGTTATTTATTCATATATCCAAGTGTCACTTATTTAATCGATATTAAACAAAATAAGAGCAATATCTTTCAAATATCTTTATTATTATTCCAGTCAAAACATTGTTCCATGATTGACACAAAAATGGATATGATCTCAGTCTTAATGCCCATTCGTACAGAATAAATAATAAAATAGTTAGACACCTCCTTAAGTTCCTGGTTTCATGTATTAAGGAGTCTATATTTAGATCAATTTTATTACCTGCAATGGACTATAGTGGGCTCCACCATCCCGACACGACTTTGACGAACACGTAAAACAAAATCTAAGAAATCACTTGGGTCATCAGGGACACCATGATCGGGCCAGGCTATGTATTGCATTTGTAAGACATGACGTTCCTCATTTGTCTGAAAAATAATTTTTATTCATTATTGCAAAGTCCCACCTTAATGCAAAATCACAATTCCCACCTTGAGGAAAATTCACAAGTCCCACCTTAATGCAAAATTCAATTCCAACCTTAATGCAAACTTGCACGTCCCACCTTAGTGTAAAATCACAATTCCCACCTTAATGCAAACTTGCAAGTCCCAGCTTAATGTAATAAAAAAAATCACAATTCCCACTTTAATGCAAAACCACAAATCCCACCTTAATGCAAGATCACAAGTCCCACATTAATGCAAAACAACCTACCTCTACATTGACTAAGGTGAATTCTCTGAAGGCAAATGAAGCTGTCTCATCCTCCTTCAAGCATGTTACATGTAAAGATCCATAATCCTGCCTCTGGTAAAGATCAGGCCAATATTGATGGCACTTTACTCGCCCCCTCTCCACCTTGGTGGTCAACATCACCACCAGGGTGGACTGTTGCTCCCACACCATCTGCCAAAAGTCCCCACATGTGTTTGGGAGTGGACCCTGGGCAGCTATATACCTATTGACGATTCCAGACCCAGGAATCTCCATCTGAAAAATGTAATATATTTTCATTTCATGAAGGAAGGGTTGAGTATGGATTTTAACCACAGAAAGATGTAACATGGACAGGAGGGGTTTCATATTTTCATATTTCACATCTGTATTTCGTGAATTTTCACCAAAGTCATTGAGACTGATATAAGACTAGAAATGCACATTTTCACTGGAGGTAATTTACCCTGGCTAGAAAATTAGTTTGATGATGTCAATATACAAAATTGATATGAAATCTGTTATGTACATTTATGTAAGTAAAATGGTGATGACGCATGTATACAATAAACACATAATTTCTGAACACATGTACAGATACACATGTACAATAAAAAATGCATATCTCAATCTGGGTATCGAAAACTATTCTGTTATGAAATGTGAAATATACATCAACCACACTTTAAAAAGCTTTCAAAAATGATAGTTTTTCATAACACTAAAAATAAAACATATTTGTTAATAAAGACAATCTATTATACTTACATTGACATAATTGGCATTTATATAGTCTCCTTCTCCCTTAATGATAACTCTGGACTGGTCATACGGTGATATATCACGGTATCTATTTTTGTTGATATTTTCGCTGAGCCTGGCTGCGTTCATAGTCATATCTGGTTTCTTCCTGTACAATTGCTACAACACAAAGTGGGAGGATATTGCATTGGAAATATATATATTGTAATGGAAATATCTTGAAATACCTATTTGAACTCGACTCAAACAATTGTATAATACTTGTACATTGTACTTCAACTCATTGAAGTTTTTAGATCCCGAATTTTTAGAAAAGGGAATTGTGTTTAAAGTATTGACCCACTTGATGCATGTTGCCAAGACCGAGGCGTGAGCACACAAAATCTGTCAGAGGTCTTTCCTTTATACTTTTATATTCATTTTTTCAATTTTCAACATCATATGAAAAATGAGAGTGAAAAAACTTGATGGATTTATCCTATATAACTGTATGTGAATACCGCAGATTACGCATATTGACATCCAATTGGTAAATAACTGACTGCACATTGCACATACCTCAAACTGTGCCAGGGCAGCTCCACTCTCTAGACTCTCCTGTAGAAGCATGAGGGAGTCACTGAGAATGTTACCCTGAGGGCCTACAGTTGATATATGGTGGGTTTCAGGTACATACTGGAACTCAGGCTCCTCTGGTTGATCCTCACCGACATATACTGAAATAACAATAACAATACATGTATTTCTATTACATTCTGGATTTTGTTTGCTCTCACTATATTCGTATGTTGAAAAGTAACACATGACTTAGATCAATGTGGCATTATATGTTATATGATATAAAATAGTTAAAATATGGTTAAAATAGACACAAAATAGAAGATTTATAAACTTTTTAGTGGCATATATTTTAATATGAATTCGTAGTTTAAGATTTCATGAATCTCAATTTAATGTATGAGATGAGAATCATCTCCCTGTGAATGGTATATATTCACAATTTCATAGAAAAGAAACAAATACAAATTCTTTTAGCCTCGTATGACTCCCCCTCCCCAATATATATATATCGCCTCCACAAAGAGGCAGGTAAAGTTTGGTGAAGTAGGAAACCTGCAAGGGTGTAGACTAAATAAGTTTTTGATCAATCACAATACTCACCATTTGGTCGGACTACTAGCACCAATTCCCCGGAATGTGTTTCCCTAGACGCGCGTATGAACTGCACCACTTGCTCGTGGGAATGTGTAGATACGTCGCGACCGTTAATAAATAACACCTGGTCACCCTCGTTGAGTCGTGGAATACAAAGGTCAGCGGGAGTGTTGGGGGCCACCCGCGAAACAATGATGGGCATCCCTTGGTCGGCTCCACCCTACAAACACATAAACAAAGTGATTAAATTTAGAATCCATCATTTCCTTTGATAAACATGAAACAGAATTTTAAACATTCATAAAAAATGTAGAACTACTTCATAAATTACTTTCTACTCATAGTTTGAGAATAAGAGATTTGAATTTTACATTTTTTCCTCCCAAACCTCTCTCTACACAATTCATTATGCAGTTTATCCTAAGTATATGTAATATTTCCCAGTGATGTTGTATATCTCAGTGTTATGCTATTATCAGATAAAAATAACAGTACAACTGTAGACATACATATCACAGGTGTACCTTCCCATGTAATAATCATCACTCCAACTCCAAATTTGCACCTTTATTCTCTAAATCTGATCAAATAGTCTCCTTTCAAGGGATATATTAACAATTTGGGTATGGACTTCATATAAAAGTTCAGTTTTCTTATTAATTCCACTGTTTTTCAAAAGTATTATATACTTCAAAACATGACCATCTTGTATTTTATTCCAGGTCTACAACCAACCTGTGCACATTCCAACCTTCCTACTTGTGCATGTGTATGTCACAGCATAGAAAAATGTCACAGCGGCAAAAATGTTACAGTAGAATGTCATTACTCACAACGCTCAAATGTTCTCTATGGATTTCTTCCTCAAGTAGGTGTAAAATTGTTATTTCCAAAATTCAGACAAAAGTGAGGTGAAGAAGTACTAATTTTTCATGTTATTTCTAATTTTCTAGTTGGAGCAAGCCTATTTCAAAAAAAAAATATAAAGTGGATGCAGTACCTTCTTGATTCAAGTCTATGAAGATCACATACAAGAGATTATGAAACTGTATTAACAGACAATCATATTAATATTGAAGAGTACCAAGCATTTTTTCTGTTATTTTAAATGGGCAGAATTAACAAAAGAATTTAAAGGAAGGGAGGTAAATGTATTCATGGAAGCTGATGAATACTATGGGTAATGGATTAATTACTATTAAGTCATGTATTTACATTACATCTACTCCTACATCTTATTTATTGATTTCAAATCAAATACTTCATTCAGCAAATACTACATTTATGTCAGAATGCATATACAAATAATTATTACTTATATGTCACCTGACATCATAAATATGTCATCTGACATTCTACAGATTTAACATTTATTTCTATAACTAATGTCGACAGGTTAAGTCCAGCTCGACATATGAACTCATTTACCCTTCATACTTTACATTTCATTGGGGGTTGACACTTGAAAATTGTCAACATGAACAAGTTAATCCAAAAATGTCTAACATGAGGTAGGGTAAATTAAGTGAAGGTTTTAATGTACACAAACCTGATTTTGTGTCAATTAATGGCTGAATGTGGAAGTAGTTACAGAAAGTTATGAAATGTTTCATGATTATAAAATTCAGGGTAGTGTTAAGTAAACCCTTCATGTGATTATATTTTGATTCTGAACTTAGGTAACATCTGACAGATTTCCATGGTTTAACAATAAGTGTGAAATGTAGTTATTGCATTTATAGCACCTTACTTAACAAACCAAGTCTTAAAATAATCAAAACTGTCTGACTGCCAGTCAAGTTCTCACAAATCTTAATAGATGGTGCTGAGTTCTCTAAAAAGCAACTGATATACAACTGACCAAACAATTATGTATTTTCAATATTTCTTATATAAAGCACCAAAATAATGAGGAAATATAGTTTTTCTCTTAAATCGACGCACAAATTATTATAAGTAAACTTAGTAAAGGAGGTCCTTGATTCAGAAGGGGTACTTGGAATAGCCTCGATATTAACTGCTGAATTTGTTTTCAAATGAAGTTGCTCAATTAGCAAATACAAGAACCATAGTTCACCCCAAGTACAAGAAAGGGACTTAATATATAGAATTCAAACTCAAAAGCCCACATTTCTTTCCATACCATTCATTATAAATTTCTATACAATATAGAAGTGTGCCCCAAGTGAGCAGAGATTTCATAAATCACATATCCCTCACATAAAATTTAATATTTGGGCATGCTTTTATACTCATGAATTAACATGGAAAAGAGGCGAATTATAATGAAAAAAATATGAACATTCATCGATCAAACCTTGTATGTTATACAAAATAATGAGAAAATCAAGATTTATGCAATTAAGCATTAAGGTATATTCATATTTTAAAAATGTTTGACATCATTTGCTTAGGCCTGTTATTCCCCAGGAACATCTGCCGTTAGGGCCCAGTGCATTAGGGGTAAAAACTCAATAGGGGTACCCTAGAAATAACTGTTATTTTCAGGCCAAACAAAAAGCAGCTTTGAAAGTGTGCCGAATCCGTGCCGTGATTATTTGACCGGAAAATGTCCCACAAACTCAGCAGCTGGTGTGTAGAAGATAAGATATTGTCGACAATGGGGCGCATTCCAAAGCACTTCACCCCTGTACTGGTATTCTGGGGCCACCTGCGTGTAAAGTCTCCTAATCAAATCACGATTCACATATTTCTTTCTAAAACTATGACAAAAAGTGTCAATTTTTCTCCTTCAATTGAATAAACCATGCAAGCTTCATGTTTGCCTTATCATCATCTTTAAATATTTCAAAGATATCTTATATCAAAGATGTAAACATGATGGTATTTCATTTCCAAGAACAGAGCATATGGACTGAAAGAAGACCAAGGTAATTCAATGCCATTGTTCCAGCATTAGCTTTGTATTATTCTGATCTTCACTATAAATACTGACCCCCACTATCCATTAAACAATGCCCAAATAAATACACACCTATATTCGGACACACGACACAAATCGGCAGATGTTCACCGATAAAGATTCCAGGCTTTATTAGGAAAAGGCTAACGCTGGTGACACTTGATGTCCATATCTGAGCTACAGGTGATATTTTGGGGAACTTAAGGTTATCTTGATTGCTAATCATACTTTTAAAACCTCTAAATAAATTGCACATCATTTTGATATACATTAGTTTGGTGAAGGATGTCACTTTTAGCTAATTGATTTAAGTGACATTCCACACTTAAATGCATCTAAAATGAGCTTTTAAAACACAAATATTTCTAAAATGGTGAAAAATGTAGAATCAGTATTTTGTATCGCCAACTATCCCCTATATATGTTACCTAATTGTCCCTGATAATTCTTCATTAAAATCTAAGTTAGAAATAACATGAATAGAAGAAAAACGTTATTGGGTAAGGCGTGAGAATTATATTTGAAAAAAATTCCCATAAATGTGCTTTCGTACCCAAGACCAAGACCAAAACACAAAGAGCAATAAAATCGTATCAACATCAAGTGACCACACAGTTCTTTTTCCTTAGGGATACGTTTAAAATGCAATTAAAAAATTCCAGTTCCACTTCATTAAAAAGACTTTTAGGTGAATGAAAATGTAGATATTCATCTTTAAAATGTGTGAATATTTTAATATATTTCGATATCATTATATGCATCTTGGAGTGATCATGGCTGACAGAGCCTTGGGATATTGATGTTCCAATGATAGCATTCTTTACACATTTTTGTATTGTTTCCCAAAAAATGAATACCTGAAATGACCCCAAAACATATCTAATTTATGGAAGAATTTCATCAATTTTAGATAAACCCATCAATTCGATATTTCTGAAAATTGAATCACAAAATACATGGGAAACACTGCACCTTTATTATGTTTAGTTTCCCTCTCGAGCAGATATACCTTTAATAATAGTAAAAGTGCATGTCAACGGATTTAGCCTTAATTATATCAATTTGCTAAAAGCCTTTATAATTAAAATCCTCTTTATACTCCATGCCAGCAAATTAAGTGGCTATAGTTAATATACAGGTCTTTTTGTGTCAGAGGCCAGTGGCTAATGGTCAGTGACATGGCTTACACCTGTGTACATTAACTAATAATTAAGGAAATAAGCAAAGTTAAGTGTTATAAATAAACCACTTCAAGTGGTTTTGCCAAATGAAATAACAATGCTGGCTCTAGTATTGCATCAAGTCTAGGAAATCCCCTCGTATCTACTAAGAGGGAAAAAGCAAGACTATGACTTAATATTTTGGATTATGAAATAAAAAACCAAAGTAGAGATAAGCATCTTAGATTACCAAGGTATGAAGATTTCATTGAAAATCAAACTGGGAAACAAATATGAGAGATCCAAGCAATATTCAAACTATTCAATCACAAGACTCCTGCATCATTTAAAATCTGGAATTCAATTGATCTTTGCATGTTATGTGCAGTTCATCAATGATTAGAAAAACATCTTGCAGATTTTAATGATGCTGGAATAAGCCCTGATGAAAAGCTACTTGACATGTTAAACATGTGTTCATTCCTATACCCTGCGTGCAGAGTCTAGTTAAACTACACTCTGCCTAGTAGAGACCACATTACAGTTTAGTAGCCCCGCCCCCACGACGGGTACAGGTGACAGTTTGGGTAATAAATCACCTTTGACCTACGCGCTGACCTTTCTTCCACCAGTCAGCGAGCTTGAAGAAACACGCCAAATGCGTTCTAATTAAATATGCGCATGTCATTGGTCAATTCCGGGCTCAACGATGACGTCAGAAGGAATGACCATATATAGAACGTCGGTCAAATTTGGCCGACGAACACTGGTTGGCGCGGTGAGTTCACAGGTTTATTTTAGTTTGAAAGAGTGAAGACGAAGCTCTCTTTTAAGAAGTGAAGTCAAACGAATGCAAAGGGTATCATTCCTATGTAATTGCCATGAAATTCCCAGCTTGAATGAGGGTTCTGATTGTAATTAAGAGATTCTAAAACTGCAAAGTTGCATGGAAAAACAGTTACATGTAACTGAGATTTTCAGTTATTTACGATTGCTTTAAAAAATATGGGAAATATTATACTGATTATTTGGCCCCATCCTTGTATTGGTCCAAGGGTATTTCAGTTCTTTCTAAATCGAAAGAGCAATGGAGATGAAGAATATTTTCGTCCCATAAAAGAAAGTTATTTGCCTCTG